AGGAGGAGGAGGAGGAGGAAGAGAACGAGGAGAAGGAGGAGGAAAAACATGGACAAGCTTGTCAATGGATGGCATAGAAAAAGAGCAAGATGTGTGAGAAAGAGAGAGAATAGCAATAAAGAGGAAAAAGAAGGAAACACGCATAACAGAGAGGGTTTGGGGAACAAAAGAAGATGGGGATCTTTTAAAGCTTTTATTTGATCAGATATAAATCTGACAGTCAAGACAACAGGCATAATTCATTACTTGAAAAAGTGTAAAAGCTAAGTTAACTTAAAACAGCAAAACTGGATAAATATGAGAGAGAAACAACTACATTCGTCCCACCACCTTCCCTTGCCGAAGTTTTCTAACAGCTCGTGAGTAGAGATTTTGACCAAGTCTCTTTTTTTTTAGTGTAGGTGCTCTTCACCGTCCCCATAGACATTATTTAGATACATTTGGAGGCGGGCTGCTTCGAACTTGGCTATCAGGACTACAGCGTCCAAGAAGAAAAACATTGGTATAATAATAAAGTATATTGGTTTTTTAGTAAGAGTTTTACGGCGCTCACAACACAGTAAGGTCATTATAAGTACCGTAGATTAGAGGTGTTACAAGAGAGTAACAAACACAAAAAGAAGTAGGGGAGATAATGACGATAGTTGTTTTAACAGGGAAGAAGGAGCAAACCACACCAGAGCACCCGCCAACCACTCACGTATGTTGGTGTGATATCTAAAATGTATTATGTAATGTTGGTATATGTTTGTATATATGTTATTCTGTGTGTACGTTTGCTCGTTGTTAAATAAATTACTTTAAGAATATCAATGACAGTGGGGTGGGGTTTTTTCATTCTTGTCATGTATTGTTTTAAAGTTATTACAAACAAGTCTTCTTTCTTTACTTTGCAGAGAGTGGATGATTGGGCGGCGCCATTGGTACGTTTGACTTCTTTTCTGTCCGTCTTTTGTTTTTGTTATTATAGTGTTGCAATTTTACAGGCATTAAGCCGTCGTTATCTCGTCGATGTGCATCTTTTTACTCAAACTAAGACTTCGCAAAAGACCCCTACCCGTCTTGCCAACAAAAGTGCCCCTGAAACAAAACAAAAAAGAAAAAAAAAGAAGAAAAACACTCCCCTCCCCCACAACAAAATACAGCAGTTAACAATCCCATAAACAACAGGACGCATTAGCTAAAGCGTATCTCGAACTTTGACTCAGCCCGTGAAAATTTACATAGAAATCGAGAACCAGTTCTTAGTCAGTCAATCTTGTTCAGGGCAAACTTGACCTTGTGTGGGTGTCACGTGACGAAATTAAAGAAGCCACGTAAAGGTCAGGACAGTTTGAACGAGTATACTTTGTACTTTCTGAGTCACTGTGTGTTTTGTTTTTATGTATTGCATTGTTTCTTTTTGTTTTGTTTTGTTGTTTTGCATGTTGTTGCTGCTTTGGGTTTTTTGGTTTTGTTGTTGTTGTTGTTTGTTTGTTTGTTTGTTTGTTGTTTTTGTGTGGTTTTTTTTTGGGGGGGGGGTTGTTGTTTTTCTCCAGGGTATGTGGTGCAGCGGTAAGGCGCTTCGTTGCGTGGCACGCAAGAGACTTGAGTTCGAGTACTATGGGGGTGGGGGAGGGGAGAATTTTATTTTCATCGAGTTTCTCGGTCTTTCCGCTGGGAGGCTGTAGCCCTCTCAGCGCGGGTTGGCCTTGGCAGACAGGGTGAAAATCTGCCTCCTAAATGATTGGAATTGTCACAACGAAGACGTAAGAACACCTACGAACAAAGGAAAAATATTTCTTTTCCTGATTGTGACTTGTGCAAATGCTTAAATCACTTTGTTTTGTGTTTTCATCGCAGTCAGTTCGGCTTCTTTCGCCCACACAGTTTTGATATGACTTTTACTGCTCTCTGGGGTATCTCTGGTCTCGGTCTTTCTGTATGTCTCTTTGTCTGTTTGTCTGTCTGTCTGTCTGTCTGCCTGTCTGTCTGTCTGTCTGTCTGTCTGTCT